TTTTTATATATATACTTATTCATATACATGTACACATATAGATAGCTTAGTAATAGCATGCCATGTAAAATTCTCTTTTTAAATAAAGTAACAACACAAACGGGACGCACACACACCGGCTGAGCCACCGTAGCTCTAGAACGCCGCAACCTTCCGTCCCCCGAAGGCCAGTTTATTGTAAGAACATTTTTTCTATGAATCGAGAGACTTTAAGTATTGTTGACGCTATTTCCATTTGAATGAGGAAATAGCGTCAATAACTTAATTTCCAAATTTTTGTTGACTTTATTTCGCTTTTGAAAAGGTAATAATGTCAATTGACTTTATTTCGCACCAGAGTAGGAGATAAAGTCAATTGACCTTATTTCCATTGACCTTATTACCTGTAACCGTCCTGTAGTCACTCCCCCGTACTGCGGGGTCGCGGAAAGTTGGTGTGGCTACAGATAGTATTCTATGCCAAGGCAATTTTGTTGCACCGTTCATTCGATTTTCAAAAATGAGGCACCAAATGGAAGGGCTTTGCCTCTAGATATGCAGTAAGGTTATATTTTTTGAATAGGGTTGCCACCTGCTTATAAAATTATGATATTTACACCGTTCGCCTGATTTTAAAATATGAGGTGTCAAACGAACAGTCTTGGCCAAAAATGGGAGAGTAGGATTTTTTGAAAAGGGTTGCCACCTTTTTATATGCCCTTGTTTTCAGCTAAAAACGACACTTGGACTAGTTTTTACTATTTTTTATTTTTTTATTTTAAGTTTATAATTTGTTTTATAAAAGTCTGGCAATGACACCCACAAAACGCAGCTTTATAGCCCATTAAATTTTAGTAGGTTAAAGTGCAAATTTCAAGACGCTAGGAAATATTGCTGATTTTTTAAACTTTTTTTTGCTGAAAGTGTTCTGCATTTTCTTCCATATTAAGTATGCTCGACAATTTATTTTTAAGGAAGCAAATGCCTATCAGCGCAAAAAAAAATTATTAAAACTCAACGCGATTTTCTATCATCTAGAAATTTCCACTTTAACCTACAAAAACTTAATGGGCTACAGTTTTATAGCATACCTAAAAGTTTTCTAAAAATTCTAAAATAAGAATCAAAAATTTTGTACGTCAAAGTTTGCAAGGCATTTGATTTTATTACACTATACGGAAAAAACAAACTTCTTCTGGGTATTTGACCAAACCAATGTTTTTCAAGAGATTGAGGCATAATTAAAAAAGTGGTTTCTCCGTTTTTCGAAGTAAGCCTCCGAAAGCGAGATATGGGACTTCGAAGTTCGAAATAGGACCTTTGGTAAAAAGTCATTTTTAAGTATTGTATGTAAATAACTAAAAAAGTAAAAATATATATGCAGTCCGCTTTTTGCTCTTGTTAAAACGGTATACAACTTTTGTGTGCAATTAAAAAATTAAGTAGATTTAAAGAGCTTTTTAAAATGACGTTTTCATATATTTTTCAGTTTATAAACATTTTTTAAAGCTACTTTATTTTTTATGAACAAGGCCATTATATTACAGGTCCCTTATAACACTTAAAAATCAGTTCCAAATTTTTTGAAATATAACCCTTGACCCCTTATAGTACCTTTAATATAATTTTGAAAAAAAACAAGTTATTTATTTAAGTCTAAAAAAAAGTCTAAAAGAGTCAATGAAATTCGTCCTGATCCTCTCATCGACTCCCAATAGCCATAATTGTCGCGAGAATACCTCGGCTGATATATCCCTCTGTAACTGGACACTCACATTCGTAGTAAACTGCAATCTATGTTCGTGTTGCCACAATGTTGAATATTTCAGGCAAGCATTTATTTCGTCTGCTGGTAGCGATCGAGAAATTACAGGAAGTGTTTGCGTAAAATCTCCTGCTAGCAATGCATTCCCGTACCGATCGATCAAGGACTTCAAGAGATTTTTTATGTGCCATCGTGCACTCATACCAAACAATGATTTTACATTTTTGTAATAATTTTCACATAGCGGATGTTCTGGAAATAGTGAACGTGGAGTTTCGATGATTTGTATGTTCAATGGCAGCTAAAGAGCTGAATGAGCAGTGCCTCCACCTGATAACAATGTTGCAGCTATTAAAAACGAAGCGAGATCTAAGGCTATGTAATTTCTTGATCGAACCGTTACCAGAATCAATCTGATAAGGAATATTTTCCTAGTTCCTTCTGGCGTATCCAAGAAGAAGGTTCTCCAACTCCGCCAATTATCATTTGCATCTTTTTTGGCGCTGTAACCGCATAAGCGATTTTGGCCGAGTTCGTCAAAACACGTGAAGCCAAGTCATTCCAGCTTTTTTTATTTTTTAATGAACAAAAATTAAACCTTAACAGAAGAAAAATTTCAAAAATAACAGGTTCTGTGCCAAATATTTGCATTTGTACTAAAGCCTGTTCTGTTACAAAAAAATCAAGTTACTGATGATGAAAATCGATGGATAAACACGAAATAATGAGTGGTCAAATGAAAATCCGTGTTACTCGGGTGTACGTGGCGTATGAGCAACACGCTTAACTGTTCGTATTTCGTATAAAAAATCTTTGCGGATTTTCATTTGACCACTTATTATTTCGTATTTATCCATCGATTTTCTTCATCAGTAACTTAATTTGTTTTTAATTGGTTCGTAAGATATACGTGATTAAAAGGAACCAATTTTTGCTTTAAGCTGAATAACGGTAAAATGCAAATATCTCGAAAACATATCCATAGAAAAAGAAACTAACCCAAATTTCGGAATCACCGAGCAATTCTACATAGAAATTGGATAGTGGTGTCTGGAGAACAAAAACCAAATTAAATGTTGTGATCCAGTGTAATCATAACCTTCATAATATTATCTAAAAACCTGAAGCAGCTCATCTAATTGGGCAAAAAAGTTTATGGAAAATGTGAGTATGTTAGGAAGATGTGTATTTCACTAAGGTAGAATCTTAGGCATTTAAAAGTCCGGAAAACCTCAATGCTCAAGCAGACACATTATCTTTACATGCAATATACGTGGTAGGCATGGCGACCCCAAATTAAATTGTTTATGATTAAAAGTTACCTGTTTCATAATGTTAGGGAATGGTGACAAAAATTTAAATTTTCATTAAGGCTTTTTAAACAGCTTTCATGGGATATTTTTACGTTACGCTTTTTATTAATTTTTTGCATCGCGTAATTTGTACACAAACTCCTCGTTGATAATATGATCACTTTGTTTGAAGAAATGTTGCAAACTCTTTTTTCATTTGAGTTGTTCGGCTTTTGGATAAGTGGAAACATTTAGAAAAATTTATCTAGTAAAGCTTTTCTAAACACTATTCGTTGGAAACCAATTATCTAATCTTTCATTTTATTTCGATATTTTTAGTCTTTACTTATAGATAAGTGATAATCCTATTGCAAATATTTCCAAATCAAGATTTCTAAAACACCTTTCGTTTAGTACCCATATGGTAACATTTCATTTATTTCATCAATTTACTGGGTTAAAATTTCAAACAGGTGGCATCCCTCCTCAAACATATTTTCGGCTGTAAATCTTCTTAAAGCTTTTTAGTTTGATACCCACATTGCTATTAAATTTTCAAAGAGCTGGCAACCCTTCTCAAAAGTATTTCTAATAGTCATCTTTTTCAAACATCTTTAAAATTATACCTTCATTGTAATATGTGGTTTATTTTATCAATTAAATTTAGTTAAATTTTGAAACAGAGGGAAACCCTCCTCAAACATATTTCCGGCTGTAAGCCTTCTTTCAACACTTTAGTTTGATACCCGCATTGCAAAATTTCACTTATTTTATCAATTTAACTGAGTTGCAATTTTCCAATAGGCGCCAACGTCTCCAAAAATATTTCCAACAGATATCTTTCTCAAACCTCTTAGTTAAATACCCATATGGCAATATATAATTTATTTGATCACTTTAATTGAATAAAAAGTGGCTACACTCCTCAAAAATTCTTTCGACTATAAGCCTTCCTAAAACTCTTTAGTTTGATAACCACATTGCAATATTTCTTTTATTTCGTCGTTTAAAGTACAAAACCGCGTATCAAGAAAATGCAAAACCTCGTATGTGAGGTTGCCAAAACTTGTCTAGCCATAATCCACATCAAAGCGATATTTTTCAACATCTCGCTTATCTGCGCCCGTTCGGCGACGTAAGAGAAGGATGAGGCATCCAAGGATCTCTTCTATGAGCACTTGGAGCGCACGTACGAGCGCTGCCCCCGTCATGATATCAAAATCGTGCTTGGCGACTTCAATGCCAGGGTGGGCAAGGAAGGGATCTTTGAAACCACCTTCGGAAAATTTAGCCTCCACGACGAAACGTCCGACAACGGACTGAGGATGATCGATTTCGCCGCGGCCCGAAAAATGGTAGT